GCAATATTTTGACGGGGCGGCGCCGTTTTCGGTGGCGCACACGCGCGAGCAATTCTCGCGGGCACGGGAATAAATTGAAAACGGAATTAATTGAATACCACGGCTGTTTCGAAAACATCTCGCTCGAGAGCCGTCCTTTTTTCTGAGTCAATCACCTTAATCGAAATAAAATCTCCTCTGTTCCTCTCTGTCGATGGCGGTTCGCGTATGAATAATTAATATTTACTTTACCCGATCCCGGGCGGCGTCGCGCCGCACCGGATACTGTTGTTTCACTGCATAAATTTTATAGTAAATTTGATCGGTACGATTCCTGTGCGGCGCGCAGGCACGGAAACTGCTGATCGGGCAATATGATAATGGGCAACAATAGGTGACTAATAACAATCGAGCCAAACAGTGTGAACTGCGGCCGATGTATCAATTATATTTACCTTTTAACCTAATTGAGAAACAGGTGTAATCGTTCGGAACAGCTAAATACTTGCATTTTTTATCGAGTGCCTGTGAATTTAGGCTTTTCTCGCCGAAGATGCCTTCGAAATTAAAATTTCAAAACTTCAACGACAACGTTGTCCAATTCGAACGCGTTGTAAATTTCATCCGTGATGAAAGTTTATTTGACAAGGGTCCGCAGATCGTCCATTAATGAATTTCCCAATATTTTACTAGTCCGTGGGGGGTGTGCGTCCCGTCGCAGACGCGAGTCTCACTGAAACCTGCTTCATCCTCTTCCACAGCCCCCGACCCCTCGCGTCTGTCTGGGCTCTGGTATTTAAGAGGGCGAATATATCTTCCTGGAGCAGCCCCTGTAACCCATGGCCGATCGGTTCCAATATATTTGCAACGCCGGCGTATCTTTCATCGGCCTCTCGCGTCTTCCACTCACGAGCAACCGATTCCCGTTCTGTTTCATCGGCGAACGTGAACATGAAAAGCGGAAGTTGGGAAATTGACATTTGAAATTCCCGCTGGGTTCTACAGAAATGTTTTGAAGTTACAATGGTTCTAAAAGTTACAAGAAATAGTCGGAGCATATAAAAGTGATAATTACGAACACGTTAAGAAGAAACATTGTCCTTGGGTGTGATACAGAGCTTTGACATTTTTAAATGGTTCAAATTCAACTATGCAAAAGTTTAGATGTTACGTTAGATTTGTTTTCAATATCACAGAAACTTAGAAAAACTCTAAATATCTTGACATTACTACTTACAAAGCGTTACATAAAATATTAAATGCACAATGCATCCATACGTGAAATATTGAAATGAAACAGCCTTATTCCAGAAATTACCTATACTTTCTCGCCACTTGGTTCCAAAGAATGTCGCCTGTACCTCATGAGAGAATGTTGAATACTCCCAGCGAGAAAGTTTCGAGTGCAAAGGATTAAGTGAACTCGAAACAAGATAAAAGTAAATTATACTCTTCCCCACACTCACGGTGTAATTCTCGTCTTCCATTCACATTTACCACGCGCGTTCTCTCTTGGATGTTTAAGTTAGTATTATCGCGCCTTAAAAATTACCAGGAGGGTAGGGAAAAGAAGAAGAAGCAGAAGAAGAAGAAGAAGAAGAAAAGGGGGGTAAAAAGAGGAAGAAATGAACGAAGCGAGGAGGGCTCAAGTTTCCTAGGGACGTCATCGCATTATCTTCACCCTCGGGGAAAGTTTCTTGCGAGCGGGGGCTAGTAACGTTTGCGAGGCAGCCGCGAAACACACCTTCCCCGAGTGAATTTTCATCCTTATCCACCGCACAGGCGGAAAAGAAGCATCGTCGTCGCGCGAACGCGGAGATACGGGGCGGCAGTGGGTCACGGGCCGCGACGCGTCCGCGTGGAACAGAAGAATGAAAATCTCTAGTAACCCCCGAGGGGATAATCGACGTCGCGCTCCGCAATTTTTCCCCCTTAATTAACGGCTCATCGCAAACGCGGCGGGATTACTTTTAATTAGCTTCTCGGAGGGGGCGAGGGGATTCGCCGAACGCGCATCGACGCGCTTTGATCGGCTGTACAATTACCGCGGACAGGGTAATTTCGCGGGCCGGCCTCCGATTTCATAGATAATAAGGTCGACTGTCGTTCCCATTCGACGCCCCTAATGAAGCCGGGTTATTAGAACGGCTCCGGGCGTGTCGAATAATTTATGCGGGCACCGGTCAACAGGGAATAAGTAAATAACAAGCTGATGCGTCAATATTTATCCGACTGTTCGTTTTCATTATTTTAAATCGTGCACGACACTGAATTTAATTTGCTAATTAGCGACTTGTCCGTTGTCTCTCTTTATCTCTCTCTCTCTCTCTCTCTATCTTTTTGCTCTCTGTACGTTTCAATTTCCATCGTGTTTATCTCGTATTTTTATACCGGTGGATCCGCCGCGCGGCGCGTGCGTTATTTTGATGAAATACGACAATGGCGCTTTATTTTCTATCCACTGAAAGCGCCTCGATTCACGAATCACGATTTTTAGAAAGCGAAGAATACGGGCGACGTCGACGAAGAATGCATTGAAAAATTCGTCGCTGGCGAAACGTTACACGGCGCGTCTTAACGCATCGTCGGGCTCGAAGAATCATCGACGACATCAAAGAAAAGCCTTCAATGTCGGGGGGATTGAAAGTTCGAGGGAGGAAACGCCAGCCGAAAGAATCGCCCAGTCGCTGCTCTTTCAACAAGTTTTCTCTGTCGCATCGATTGCGCGAATTTGCATCGTCGTTCCGGTATCGATGTCTCGGCTGGCCGTCGATAAAGTACGACGCGCGACGTCGTTCCGTCGTAAACGATCGTAACGCGCACTTCAAATTAGATTTTAAGGCTGGATTTTAAAACTTCTCACTGCATGTATTTATAATGCACGGCGTTTAATGTTCGCATTGCGCGGTGGTACGATGCGGTAGTAATAATAACAATGATTAAAATAAAATACGAGGGAACGCATTTTCCCGGAGAAAATCATGCCGCGAAGATCAATAATCGACGCTGAATGGTTCAACGCATTTCGCCAGGCAAACATATCTATAATGAAACTGTAATATTGATGCGCCTGTGAGGATAGTTTTGATTTTATCGGACGGGGTAGGGAGTTCCCCTTTTTTGGGAAGGGAAGGGAATGTTTGCTCGCCAGGAACTGGGAACGGCGTTAAAAGCAACACTGAAATCGTAATGAAACCACTGGCAAATATTGTACCCGTCTTTAAAGCTTTTAAAAGATCGCGATTTACACGTGGAAGCTTCGACAGTCAGAATTGGAAAATTCGGAGCGAGAGGCTCGAATCTTTGATTAGGCGAGTCTGCCATTTCTGAAATATTTAACGAAGGTTCCCGTGCACCTCGCTTTGGACAAAGTGGCTGGGAATGTTTGCTCTAAGCGAGATGTGTTTCAGTTTTAGCTAGTTATCCGTGGGATTTAGTAATAGAATCGATCAACGATGAGTATACTCGTCGAACAATAGACGCACTTAATATATATTCAAATACTACAGCAAAATGGAGAAGCATTGCATGTTTATTTGAAAAAATAAATAAATCGTTGAAAAAATTAGTATTGTTTTGTGTTTCAAGGTAACAGCTGTATTCACGTCGAATACAACTCGTTAACCAGTTAACTGTGGGATTTAGTTGGAAAAACTATAAAATAAAAAAATGGAGCGTGTACACGCAGAACGAATGCACGTAGAGTATGTTTCAACGAATGATCAAAGCGAAACAAAGAAGAGTTACATGTATCTGTGAAAAAATCAAGAATTCATCGCCGAATGAATTAGTATCGTGTCAAGCTTTATGACGTGTATATTCGTCAAACAAAGTTAACTGGTTAATTGCAGTTCGACTGAATCTTCAGCAGATTTGATTACGTATTTCTGAGGTAGTCTTGACAAAATGGCGACTTCCCCCGTGTATCTGACAATATGTCTATCCGGAAACGCCGGGGAATGATTATTTACTGGCCGACGTTGCCCCAGCTTTTCCGGCCGTGCAGCGCCGAACGTCTACGCGCGGCTACGATATTATTGGTCACGAGTCTCCCGACTGCTACAATATAGTGTTATCTGACAGCAATAACCGGGCGATCGTAAACAGCAGTAAATCGGGGAATATATTCTTCAGAGCGAAGTGTCGCTAGCTGATCCGTGAAATCGGCGCCCCGCCGACGATTAATCGGGAGGGAACCTTTTTACGAGAATTCTTCGTTATACACGATTCGCAAGACCCCACCGTTTATTGCCTCGTAAATTCTTCCCGGTTATCTTCTCGTCATTTTCATTTCACTCGGCCGATGTTCCCGCCCTGATACGCACGATACACGCGGACGTATCGCCTATGCAGAGTTTTATGAATTTATAACAGTTTTGATCGCCTTCGGCAAGGCACATTGAAACGTTCGGGGAGACTCCACGAAATTTTCAACTAGTGATAAATTCACGACGATATCGTGAAAAGTGGGAAAGACACAATGTGGGAAAGTCGTAATACACAATGAATGAACCACCGACGCTCTATGTTAATAGCACAGCCGCCTAAAACTGATGAATCAATAAGCGAAACATTAATATAGTTCCCAATGTCACTCCCGTACCATGGAAACTGCAGAAACGAAAGTTTGAATAACGAACGAAAAGTTTGAACAACGAACGAAACAAAGTTTGAACAGCGAACGAAACAGAGTGTACCCCGTTCCGACCTTCCAAAATGAATCTCTGAAAATTGACGTTTAACCGAAGATTCGCAGGAAAGATAGGCCTTAGCCCGACGATTCCAGTTCGTATAATTATAAACAAAAGTACGGATCCGCCGGATCCAATTCGTTCGGGAGGCTGGGAGCGATTCGGGCAGCCATTAACAGTTTGACAAATCGACCGGTCGACCCGTGAAACACGTTCGGGGCGGCTAACTGGTCCTCGACCGAGCCGGCGAACTCGATTTCGAACTGCCATCGAGTAGCGGCCGGCTTCTTCGAGACAATTAATCTCGATTTGCGGAGGAGTCTCGCTTACCTTCGGGCTGGTGGGGCGCGTAGATGTTCAGGTAGAGGCAGTCCTCGCTCTGGTTCTTCAGATAGGGTAGCAGCCTCTCGAGGTACTCGTAGCGGGCCGGTTTCACCTCGTCCCGCAGTTTGGGCACCACTTGCGGGCACACCGGCGCGAAATCGAGGGATTGTCGCACGACCCGCCACGGCTCCGGCGATCTGGGCGGCGAGAACCTTAAAGATCCGACCGGCGGCTCCGCGTACGGCACTCCTGGAACACCGAGTGGCGATCGTCATTGTCAATTGGTAATTGGTTTCAGTGGAGAAGCACTAGGGTCAGCCCGGGATGAAGTTGGAAAAGGTTCTTCGGCTTTGCGAGGACTACGCGATGGTTTTAGGTTGAGCTTCCTAAGGAGATCCTTGCGGCCGATACCTTTCGAAGTACTTCGGAATGATTGGGACTAGTTCGGAGTGATTCGAGAGCTGGACTAATTTGGGGAAGCTTAGCCGTAGTTCGTATCGCATGGAAATATCGATAGTGAGGCTGTTAGTAATAGTGCCGCACTATTTCGTAGAGCAAAATACACAAAATGGAAATATATAATATTGAGTCATTGGATTGAATTGTATTATTATTGTACGTTCGCCTAGCTGAATGCTGTCGCGTTAAGTAGTATTTATAATATAGAAATATTTTCAAATCATCGTTTAATTGAGTGAACTAGTTCGATTTGATTCGGGGTCACAGGGAACCCGCATAGTAATCAACTTGTTAGTCGGGCCATTGAAATATCACCAATAGTTAGAAGTCATCGATTCATTCGACAAATAGCCCAGACAAATGAAATTTTACTCTATGGATTTTATTTCTGCGTTCGATCGTGTCTTCTTTGATTATACTACGAATTATGCCGCAGCGAGGGCAAAGAAATATGACGGTGCCGGCGGTTTTATTGACCCCTAAAACACCGGATTACAGGAGTTCGATTAAGTTCGATGACGATGGGGATATCTTAATTATCCCCGGACGAACCCCGAGAATAGTCGAGACAACAGCGGCGGGACGACGGCGGTCCGCCATTTAACTTCGCCGATAGGGCAATCAAAGTTTTCAAGGTCGTTCCAATTTCCACGCGAACGATCCATACGTTTTTAATCCGACCGCCGTTCGAAATCAAGCCTTTCGATTTGCGCCACCCACTCAGACGAGCCGCGATTTAATATTTTACGTAGGACTTGGCCGGCGCCCGGGAATCCAATTTACCCGGGAATTGGATAAAATGGATCGGCCGTGATCCTTGCCGCCAAGGTGGATCGTGTTAACACGGATGCCGGACGAACGCGATCAATTTAATCGATCCGACCGCGCGGTCCAATAAAACTTTACGGTGATTGCCTGCGCGACGATCCGCGCGGGATCATCTCGAGAACAATCGCGGTTCACGCTCGATCTTAGAGCTCTGGCTGATGTATTTTGAGTACCTAGCTGGAGACAGGTCGCAAATACGGGAATATCTCTTTGTTTGCATCCGGTGCTCTTTACTTTCTTCCGAACTCGACGTTAAATCAACACGATTGTACGTTACGGCTGATAAATGCTGCGATTTGCACTGCATTCGATAGAATTGATACAGTAAAGCTACTCGCATCGAAATACGGCGCTGAAAGTGTTCGAGCAAAGAAACTTTCGAATAACGAAACAGTAAAGTTCGCTTAACGATTGATGTTACGGAGACTGGTAAACTGTTTCAATATTTATGGATCGTACATCTTTTTAGTAAGTAGATTCCACAAATTTTTAGATTTTGTTCTAAATTTATATGAATAATTTAGGTCTGAGATGCGATTGATAGAACATATTGCAAATTATTTAGATATACACCAGATACGTTGACAAAAGAATTTCATCGAAATGGGGAGGACCCATATCGGGTGTAATTTCATTAGGAATCAACGGATGCGTCTTTAATTCTCTTTCGCCGGCGAGTTCGGCGTTCGCACACAGTGATGTTTCTCGTCGCGCGGACGAAATTGATTTACTTTGTGTAGTTCGCCAGAACCTGGCCCCTGATTACTACAAAGGGATCGAAGAATATATTGGAAAGGGGAGCTGAAGTCAGGATACACGATAAAATTCATTAACCGAATATTCTGAACTCCCCTTTGACGCGCTAATTAACAGAGAGTTAACAGACAGCTATTCACAGTACATGCCAAAGATACTTTGTAATATCCTGATTCACGGTTCGCTTATTATATTCAATTAAGCGGCGATTTTCAATACACACCGTTAACATAATCATCCGAGCATTCTGCGACCCTCTGTTATGATTTCGTGAACCGAGCATCGCGGAGCGCTAGGAAAATATTATCAACGACGCACAATAAGCATCATCATAGTACAAAGTACAGTACAAAACGCCTCAAATTGCTTCCACAGCTTCAATTACAAATCGCACAGAGAGCACGTTCATCCGTCTTCAAAGCAAACACCGATGTCCATTTCCATCGAACGACCGGCTGTATCGCATTTCCACGTCCTCCCAACAATTCGGTATTATCGTTCCCGCGGGAAGCCGCTTTCGCGCCGAGAGACGCGTAACGAGCGTCCGCGGGAGAGACGGAATCGACGCCGAAGAATGTCAGGGGCTCCCGTGGAACTCGACAAAGTGCACGGCCAGCCGTAGCGTGCGCGAGGCGGGCCGCACGCGCGACACGCGAGTCCTGGGGGAAGGGGACGCGTCTATTCCCGAAATAACCGCGGTCCTCGGTGCCTTTGACGTATCGAGATTCTGGAAGCGCGGATACGTAGCGGTAACGTGAACGAGCGGAGGCCGATGCAGCTGCGAGGCGAAAGTTTCGCCGGCTGGCCGGCCGAAGTTCAGCGTATCGGCGGACGGGAACCGGGAATCGCGGTGTGTTATCGTTCCCTTGGACGCCGGGGTCGACTCGGGGGCAGACGAGAGGAGGGACGCGGGTGATTGGGCCCCGAACTTCCGAACTTCCCGCCGTCCGGAATGATTGTGAGCGGATTTCTATGGCCGTGATTGACTCCGTCCACGAGTTTAAGGACGTATTTCTGGGAATTTTCTGCGCGCCGATCGATGGACTTCTCCCCGGGGAGAATTCGTCTTAACTGGTCAACTATTCTCGAAGGCCAAGTTGTTTTCCCAGGGATGAAACTAACTGGAAGCTGACTTAACTGGAACGCGAGCCGTGTAAATCGCGATGTTCAATGGCAGTACTGTGAAATGGGGCTTCTTGTGTAGTGTTTATTGTCTTCTAATGTCGTTTGTTAGTTTAAGGAAAGGAAAGGCTGAAGCTTTAAAGTTGCTGGAAATTTAGTAACAAAGCGAAGGGATTTATTGATATGTCTAATATTTATTCTTTAGGTTTGGGGATTGAAATAGTTTGAAGGAATGTATCTAGAATTTCTTGCAACTAGAAATTTCTAAATCTATTTCATTTAATCCCTTGCATTACGGTTTCTTTCCAATTCTGCTGAAATTATTTAATCGCGAATAATTTCCTAGAAAAACGAAAAAATTCTATTTGACCTATGTCTGTATTTAATCCAATGATTAACGATTAATAACAGAAAGGTATTTAATTTCAACTTTCTTGAATATATCTACATTCGTTAACCTCTGAAATCTCCCTAACAAGTCCGACATCTCATAACACAGTGAGTTAAACGATCGTTGTATCTCGCAAGGACTTAAAAATTCAATTCCCAACGCACGGCAGAAAGAAAAGCGAATAGTGAACAAGCTAAACTCCGTATCAACTGTTTTCCATCAGAGATTCTACTCAGAAAGTCCGTGTCATGAATTTCCGAGGGCCGAGCGACCGCAAAAACTTTCGGAATCGCCTGGTCCGTAGGTAACTGAACATATTCGAGGACTCACCGAGGAAAACGTCGACCGGCTGGAGATCGTGATTGGACCTTGGCTGAACGACCATGCCGCGCAGACGTCCTTGTTTCACCCTGACCTCCCTGGTGAGATGGTCGGGTCCCTCGTGGTACCTCTGATAGTAGCCATATTGGGTCCTCGGCTCGTAAAAGTCTCGGTGCTCGGTGAAGATCTGGGTGCAGGCCAGGAGCACGAGACCCACCATCTCCAGTCGCAGCATCCTCGACATTTGTTTGGTCGTCCGATGGCCGGAAAGCGTGGCAATGAATTCCCGCGGGTCGCGTCGCCTGGACTGTCGGCGCTCGGGACCCACGAGACCCACGGGAACGCGGGGGCGGCGAAGGGCGCCGGAACGTTTCAGGGGCCGGAGTAAAAATAATTTTTCAACCTTCCTCCTTCTTCCGTTTCACCGCCGGATGCGACCGCTTGGAAGAAGCCTGTCGCTCGCCCGTTCGTTCGTTTCTCTGTTACGTGGCCGGCGCATCGGCTAGCGCTGCAGCTTTCACGGGCGACACTGTTTCAGCGGTCCACTTGTTCGAAGAAAGGGCGGCCCGATCTTTCTACCAGCCGTGCCAAGATCGTTCCCGAGTTCAGTTTTGGCACCACGTGCACGTGCGGCTCACATTTTCGACGCCGACTTCCTGCTCGCCTTCCCTCGGACACGCTGCCAGCCTTCGCGATATCACATTGTCACGGCCCTCTTCCGATCCTCTTCCCTGTTCGCTCGGATATTCGACTCCCCGACGGGCGACCGTTATTCTCTCGCTCGAACACCGTTCGTATGGATACGATTGGGTATTATTGTTCTTCGGGAACACTCGGCGGATTGAAGTCTCACTTTTCCACGGCACTGCACTCATTCGACGAGGGATGAACTGGAGACCGAATGAAATGAAAGATTCGCGATTTATATGACTGTGATAAAGTTGGAATAATCTTTGCTCATGGTCGGTTTAAATATATTATAATATTCGATGGAAAGATGTGATTGTATCGGAAGGATATGCATAGAATGTGAATTTTAAACGTACAGATATATCGAGGTACTGTAAATTTATGTAAAATAAGGAATAAAAATAAAGGAAACAAAAATATTAAGTAACTAAAGACGGCAATACGAAGTTCATGATATTCTATTCCTTTTAATTGTCTAATTAAGTCCGAGTACAAAGGTTGGAGTAACGTTCGGTGCAACTTTGCTCTCAAATGTAGCACGAAACGATCAAAATTGTGATATTCTCAAGTTTATGCGCGCCCCTGTCGAGTGACACGCTACGAAACCGCGGTGTTTTCAGTTTCTTGTTAGGCCGGCCGGTTTGGTGACGATTAAAAGGCAAGAAGACCCTCTGCTCTGTCCTCCAGCGGTGATATTCTTGGTCGGAACAAGGGTGAACGGACGTACCGCGCGGGCAGAGGGGACGAGAGAGAAAGCAGGAGAAAGCGAGCGGTGCGTGCACTCTATTTTCGACCCAAATAGAACGGTACCGCTGTTGATAAACTTCGCGCCGGTTCGAGACGGAGAGCCTACGGTGACCCCACCCTTCGCCGTGGAAGATTTTCATCGGTCGGATTTATGCGACCGTTACGACCCTCGAACGTTTATCTCGTCCCGCTATCAACTTCTTTCTTAAATATTGAAATCTCCCTCGGAACATGCTCGTTTAAAAATGTATCTTCCGCCGCGAACTTTCGAGTAAGCTAATAAAAGCGTTGAAAGAGTGGTTCTACGATCCGAAATTTATCACTGTTGCTTCTGGGATCGTTACTGTCTCTAAATATTTATCGCGTCCAGATGTCTCGTTCGGCAAACGGCGAATTGAAATTTTCGAGGAACTCTTTTAAAAAACATCACGATCTCCGTTCCAGGTTTCAAAGGAAGTTAACGAAGTTCCGGAAAGATACTTAAGTGGGATTAAAAGAAATGAGAGTCCGAGACTTTAAAGGCTTATGGCACTCGCGGAAAGATCTAAGAAAAGTTTGATCGAGCCGAGTCTTGAAATTAGTTCCCTCGATGCGAGATAAATCTTCGTCTTCGCGAGCAATCGAGAGCGTAAGTCTTCGCGGAGCATTGAATATAAATAGAGGGACTGTTCCAGAAAGCATATTGAATCAAGGTTATACGATGAACACCGGATTACCGCTAATATCATCGGAAATTACATTACGCCGATATGGATCAAACGAAAGAAGTCCGGAACAAACGGACAACGAAGCTTCACCGCGCGGCGCAAATGAAATTTCATAGCGAACGAGTTCTTAAATTCTCGAACTTTTCCATCCACCGTTCCGCGTATTTTCCGCCGCGATACCGGAGTTGATTCATGACTTTCAAACCGGTCCCGGGCACGAATTCCCCGCGGGGAACAATAAGTAATTGTCTGGTCGTATTAATGAGTAGCCAAAAATCGGGAGTGGAGTTCGGAAACGAGGCGGGTCGCGTACACAGCCCTGCCCGGAAGAGTTTCAATTTAGCCGATTCACGTGCCGCATAAAGCAGCCATCAAAAGAGCTTCCGCTCCCTCCATGAAAATCATTCAACGAAATTTACGGCGAAAAAAGCGTAGCACGCGCGCATGAAACGGCAAACCGGATTACGCGGCGCGATATAAAACCGACCGGGCCCGCTTTAACGCGCGCTTTAAAGCGGTCAATAGCGTTAAATTATGAATACCCGTAATTTGCATCGCGACTAATTGTCGCGCGGGACAACCCGTCATTTCACACCGGCCCCGGCTCTGTTCCTTTTTCTCGCCGGCTCCCTTTTCCGCGGAAGGGACAACGGGGGAGGAAAAAATAGCCTCGAGGCGCGCGCCGAGCGTTTTGACAAAGTTTCGCCGGTACGTGACGCGTTTATCGATATTCCCGACGCGATTTACACGCAGATGAGCCGCGTTACAGGCGGCCCGACCTCTCGACGAGCCGCGCGCGTTGAATTTCAGTCGCGGGCGCACGGGAATTCGCGCGAAACTCCTCCCGCCGACGTGTCGGCACGAAAACTAACGTGATTGGACCGCCGCGGTCCGCGGTTTATCGAAAATTCCGGCGATTCTCGAGCGGTCGCGACCGCTCCGACACACCCGGCGGACTTTTCGCGCGGATGGATATTACCGCGAACGATCCCGTGTTGATTTTCCGACGAAAATCGCCAGCGGCCCGCGAGGGAGGAGGAGGAGGAAGGTAAACGTCGCTCTCGCCGAGGATGTTGAACTCTTGGCTGCCCTTGCGAGTTTCTAACGCCGCGGATATTCTTGGATTCAGTTCTACTTCCGATATTAGGGAACGGACAGAAGTCACAGAAACCGACCGCGGGTCGCGCGAGAATCTCGGAATACGCGATACACAAACGATTCCAATCGTGCTCCTCGGTTTCATTCCATATGCGTGATTTTAGGAGGTTCGTCTTACGTTGCTCCCATTTTCAACGATCGAGAGCCTTGAAGGATATTTTAAGCGACCATTACTGCGCACTCGGTGTCTCCAGCATCGGGAAGGAAAAATTCATTCGTCGCACTAGCGAGTTCAAAGGTTCGACCGTTAGCGGCACGTCGAACGAGTTCACACGAGATCGCGAGAGTCGTCGACGATGACGAGCGGCGGACACTGCGTCTCCGTTTGATTTTCCGCGTACGCCGAAACGTCGGGCATACGTTGGCCTACGAGTATCTCGTTCGCGAGCACAGTTTCACTTCGAAGGAACACGCGAGTCGACTGAGTCTGTAAGTGCTAAAATTAAATCGAGAACGCGCCGAGGAGGAAGCGCCGCCGGGCGGCTGTGTTTCAAGCTGGGACTTTTATTTTCGGTGATACGTGGCCCGATTGGTGGAAGCGATCATCTACGAGCGGAGCGGGTCACGTATTTCCAGAAAAATTCCAGAAAAACCAGTAACTCTAGCCGTCGATTGCGAGGATCACAGAATCATGATAAATTCTCTGGAGCGTGGAGATTTTTCTAGAGTGGAAGATACCGACAGATAAAACCGTATTATTCGAAAGAAGAAAGAAAAGTAGAATTTTCTAGCTTCGGAGTTGTAAAACTTATGTATAAAATGACTGTCTTAATTACAATTTAAAGAAATAGGAGACAGATCTTGTCTGTAAAATTCAAATAAACCGAACGTCTAATCACTTCCAAATTTTCCACTGTTTTACATTGAGCGTACGTCGCTGTGATAATTACGAGTAAACCGTCTCAAAGCGAAAGTAAACGATCGACGATTCGAAAGTAAAGCGCAAAGTAAAAATTGTTTCAGCGTTGCACGAGCGTTACTTAATAAACGCTCGAATGATAATTCCACTCAGCCGTCCGACGAAACGACAATGTAAACGAACAAAACGAATCTCGAACGCTCAGACGGTCTGGGCAAATCTTCACGCGACTCAAGAGCCGAATAAGCTCGCCCTTTGATCGAGGGTAATTTAATTTCGCTTAATCTTGGCGACTCCTTTCTTTCGGGGGCTGAACGCGCGGACCAAGTTAAACATTTTACCTCTAATGAAATTAGTGTGTACGTACCTCGGGCCCGTAAGTGTTTGGATTAAATGAAACACGGGTACCCCGAGACTCTGTTTATGGAGATTAAGATAATTGGAGTGCGCCGCGAAACCGTGCGCGCGCGAGCGCGCGCTCGAGCGAACCGCGAAATATATTAATCAAGTTGTTGCGCCGGTATTTTCCCTTCGAGTTCTCCCCTTTAATCGGGAAAATCGTGCAATTACCGCGAGTCTGGTTACGCCGGGGCTCGAAGGACGTCGTGTTAACGTCACCGGCAACTGCCTCTGTCGTTCGACCGATAAAAATCGCCGGGGAGTTTCGCGAACGAGGCCAGATTAGAAAAGTTCCAGCGCGGGATTAGTGCCGGCCCGGAGTCCGCGCGGTGTTCGTCTCGCGTAACGACGTGTTAAAGCAACGATAAGAAGACTTTGAGAGGGTGCTCGAGGCACGAGGCGTTCCCCCGATGAGTGGCTCCCCTTCAGGAACATCTCATTTACGTTAATGAACTTACTCGGGCCCGGCGGGGGAGGTGGCGACGACGGGGTCCGCGAAAACAAACGTCTCGCTGCGACGAAATCTTCAGCGAGACAACAGACCGTGCCGCCCGGCTTTTCGCGAACGACGCCACCGTTAACGCGTTCGCCATCAGAATTTTGAAGCTTCTGTTTTACGTGATACAGTGAAATTTTTATTACAGCGAATCGCAGGAGGCAAAGTTCTCGAATTATAGAGGTTTCTCTACTAGTATTGTAATTAACCGTCTGCATTGGCGACTCTGAGTTGCTATTCGATTTGATGTAGGAAAATTATAAAATATTCTATGTAATATTAAACTTATAATGTATCGGTGTGTGAAATATTATTGTACATGTAATATATTTGTACATGTTTTCTCAGCAGTTAGTTTCAAAGATAAAGAAAATGAATATTTCTAGTGAAAAGCATCGGTACTTACGTCGCACTAATTACTTACGTTAGGAAATACTTTTATTCAACAATCTTCTTAATGTAACTATTCCCGAACAATTCGGAAGCTCCTATCATCACCATCGCGGCAGTCAGCCCGTGAAATTTGAAATTTAACTTCGTTATATAATAATTTGACTTTGAAATTTGCATCGGCGCGGTTTGATGAAACGTGACCTCCTTCCGCGATTTTTCTCGGGTTTCCGGCGTCCGGATTCCCCGCCGCCGACGTTCCGTTAATATTTAACAACGAAGTTTAGTACAGCGGAAACAACAGTCGGCGGATTTGAATACTAGAATATTTACAAGAGAGTCTCTAGTTCGCCGTCGAAGGCGGAGGAAGCCGACAATTAATTCGAACGCGGGGCTCCCTCGTCTTGGCGATGGGACTCGCCGATATTTCCCGAGCAGCTCTTCGAACCGCGGATATTATACATACAACGACGATATTGTTCCCTAGGTTATCGATAACGGAACGACAGACGAGGACAAATAACTTGTGTGCAAACTGTCCGGCCGTGATACACGCTAATCCCGGGGGAATGTGTCCGCTTTCCTGGTCGGCTTACTTATTCCTGCCGGGATTCATCCGTGTCCCGGGCAAATACGGTAAGCTCTGCAAGAAACCGACCGTATAGGCCTGTACACTGGCTTTACCGTGGATTCAGACGCGATGGAAATTTGGATAACTTTAGATAGCCTCCTATCAATAATTTTGGATAGGAGTAAGAATTTTAAATGGAATTAAGAACTACCTACAATTATAGATAAGAATTTAAGACAGAATTAATTTCCATATGAAATTAAGACAGAATTATAAGTTGAAATATTTATTTAAAATTACGACAGAATTAGAGATAGGAGTATCTATAGAGAATTTAGACAGAATTATGAATAGGAGTATCTATAGAGAATTTAGACAGAATTACAGATAGGAATATCTATAGAAAATTTAGACAGGATCACAATTAGAAGTATCTATGTAATATTTAGACGGAACTGCAGACAGAAATTTCGGTAGAATAAATCTTTGATGGAGGATATATTAGATTTAGGTATCACTTCAAATAGAAGAATGGAATCTATGTGAGAAAACTAAGGTTTCTCCGACGTGAAGTTGTTCACCGCGGCAGAAAACCGTAGGTTTCCTCCTCGAAAAAGCTTTTGTTGCAGCAATTAATATTGTAGTCATAGAACGATCCATCTTGAACAGTTTCCGGATATTTTCTTGAATTCCCACCGAGTTCTCTTGGAAGCGGAGAGGATGAGCCGTCCCGATGCGAACACTTATCCGGCCGACTCCTTTCAGGACACCCAGTACAGCTAGGTAAGGTGATGGTGGAAAAAAAGAGCGCGAGGAAGAGTTCGCTAGGGATTTTTCATGGATTAGCCCTTGCTCCCATCTCTTCTATCCGCGTTGAGAGAGTACGTTTTTCCGTGCAACTATCGTTTCAACAAGCTGGATATACACGCGCGTTCTTCATGGTACACGGAGGTCGGTTGTCCGCCTCCTGCGGATAATCCCGGGGGCGTTTTACAGGTGTTGCATTATTTCCTGTCACCTTGGCGGGACAGGCATTTCCTGAAGCCCCGGCGCTGTTCATTTCTTAATCCGCTGTGTTTTTTACTCGCTGCGCTCCCCCGCGAGTGGAATATCCGGTCGCTGTTTCGCTCCTCTCTGATTTCTCGCGTTTCGTTCCATTTTTAACACATTGTACGGCTAAATTTCAGTTACGCGGAATGCGAGCGTCGTTGATTGTATTGATATATTTTTAACCCTTTGCACTCCGTAGCCTCTCAGTCGCCAATTGATTTGACACAGCAAAATTATAGAGTTTGATATTTAGTACTAAACTTTGTACAATCCATCGACATGTAAAATATTAAAATAAAACAGCTTCTTTAATTTATGTGCGATTTCTCGTTAAGTCAGTTTGAAAGAATGTCGTTGGTATTTGATTAAAAAATGTTGAATATTTCTAATGAAGAACTTCTGGAGTGCAAAGGGTTAAATATCAATCAAACCGAAATTTGTAACTCACGACACGGAATAAGGAATTCGATTTTGTAATTTTTTGGATATATGTTAGATATATCTAAAATGTTACATTAACGCATTGAACTTTTTACTTAATTTTTTTTTTACGTCATATTGCATTTCCAAAAGTATTTTCTTAAAACTTCGACCTTATAAACAAAAGCAATAACAATTTAATCATTCCTTGTATTCTCATAAGTGACTGAGTCGCATCGTGGTATGATTAGTTATAAAAACACGTGGTACGATTAGGGTTAACCCTTTGTGCTCCGAAGTGCTCCTGGTTTCTCACTTTGAGGTTCACGTCGACGTTAGTTCATTCAATTACAGCTTAATACGACGCTCTATTTATTTATTCAAGAATATTTGGGAGTCATTAAATGTTACCCTTAAATGGCACAATCGTGATATCACAAATAAATATAGAAAAAATTGTTAAAACGGGTAGAGGTTGCAATAAAATGGAATGTCGAGTCAGACGGACATAGGACTGCTAAGGGTTAATTACTAGCAATAAGACGATAGACTAAAAATCCCGGATTATCATGGGGCCGGCGCGCAATGTGTTAATCTAGCCACCGTTTCGAATATTTGAATTTGAAAAAGAAGAGGAAAACTTATTCGTCGAACTGAACATTCCGTTAGATTCTAAACGGGAATGAATTGTAGATTATGGTTGCGCTGTATCAATCATAGAATTCAGTTCCCTCGCTTTCCGGGATGACGGGTAATCAAATTATTCCCGTATTTACGGAATTGTCTATGTTTGAAGGACTCCCTTAGGAAGTAGACGGATCGATCTGACGAGCGGCCCGACAATTAATTTCTCTTACAGCTGTGAAAGCTCGCATATACGATAATTAAATGGCGGTGGATCCGCTGGAGGGCGATGCTTAAGGGGCCGTCGATTAGGCGAAAGCACATCCGGCACACGTGCACGCTACGAGACTTATCGATGCTCGAATTGCGCGGCGATTGGTCGTGGCTGAACTTCAATCAGCTTCAAAATTCAACTATTCCGATCCTATCGTTTCCTCGGTTCACCGTCGATTGGCTAAATCAAACATGATTACTCGGTGCGCACCTCTGTTGTGCCTCCGATCGCATGAACTCCGAAATCCTATCAACTGCGGTGTTTTTGGACCGATTTGCTTCTGCGAATCGATCTGTTCTCGCGAACCTGTGTATCCACCGTTTTCC